TTGAGGATATGAACTATACAGAATTAGTTAACAGAATTTTTTCTTTAAACCCACACACTATAACATTCATCTAGTAAATCTGAATAAGAACTGCAATTCAATAGCAACACAATCTGTATGTGAACTTTCTGTGAAGACTGAATTCCATGAATCAATAATTTGGTTCAATTGTCTTGGTTCTGTTTACTATCTATGCTATGTATGAGTCTTAACTTATTAATGTTGGACATCCTCTGTTTGAAATCTCTGTATAAGGCTCTGAGTAAACAAGACCTGTGTTAACTTTGACTTCAAAGATAATGAAGCACCTGTAGAAGTGTTTTCCAGACTGAGCTGGACTTTATTAGCTCTGCTGTCATAAATTCAGGAAAAAAAATAAATCACTACATCATCTAAATTTGAGACAAGAATCCCTTCATTCAATACCTCTCGTATTTTGCAAAACAGTACTGTTTACATAATGTTGGTATCATATATAGTATGGTAGTTAACATTAACATAATAATGATGACGTGTTATTACCATTACGAAGTTGGTGTGTTGATTTTTAGTATTGAAAGAGCTGCCTGAAATATCTACTGTTTACATTTGTTCTAGCTAAAGAGATTTGGTAGAATTTGCTAATCAACTGCAACCACTTCCCACCCATAAAACTGATGCAAAGAGGGGAAAAAACAGCTAGTGGGATCCAAAGACATAAACACTTTTACTTATAATTCTGTAAAGAGAAATCCCTCTCTCTCCATATGGTTTTCTCTTGGCTCTTAATCATCTTTTCATTGGCTTCCAGCTGGCTGTCTCACTATCATCTAGCAGTATCACTAGCAAGACCAACTTGTTATGCCAAAGTCAGGCTCAGAAAGAGGAGATCTGCAGAGTAGCATGACTGGATGCAGCAATCTTTACTAGGGGCAAATCTAGCATAAAAGATGCATAGCAGGGTCACCTCACTTGCCTCAGCAGAGCAACCACTGCTGTGTTCCTGAAACACAGCAGCAGATCTACATTTGCACTTTTTAGCAGTGGGAGTGAAGAACGACTACTACAATTGAAGCTACAGGGAAATTCTGCAGGCAGAAGTGTAATTACCTGAGTGGGAATTCTGGCAGAAACCCCAAACCTCTTTCTCTCCTTAAATAGAAACAAATACTGTGCAGTCACCATGGAGAGATTACGTACAGCATTTGGATCACATACAGCACTGAAATACAACACACACAAAAGAGCCAGCCATGGAGCTGGTTTAGCAAAGCACAACCAACACTCAGTTCTCCATTGACTACAGCCACCATTTTAGCCATCATCCCCTTCTCAGGCTTACAAATATTAAGCTATATGTCAAAACTCAGGCTCTGCATTAAAGGCCAGCTCTGCAAGCTGTTTAGTCTGAGAGGTACCTGAAGCCTGACAGGAAAGAGACAGAGATGGAAGCCTTGACAAATCCGTCTACTACCACCAGGGTAAGATTTCGAGTTGAGAACAGAAAACCGCAGGGAAAGAAACATCATAGAGTGCCCATCTGTGAAAGCCTACTTGGATTTAGCCAAGCAGTCAGTCATGGAAGTATCGCAGCTCTTGCATGGTCTTAGGGGCTTTGGCTACAGTCGCAAAAATTCTCAGGTTTTGTCTATGTCTGACATCTTTGGTTTCTAGTCACCTTATGCATCCAAGCCCACCTCCTCATCCTCTCCTTATCCCTTCCTTCTGCCTATTCCACAACCCAGCTCATTGGTTTTTTTGCCTTCTGACCCTACCAGCCTCAACCCCAGCTGCAGCCCTATCTCCTTGTACAGATTTTTCCCCTCCACTCTACCACCCATGTCTCTAGTGCACATCTTCCTACTCAGGGCTGTGGCAGCACCCCAGGAGAGAGTCACCAGAGCACAGGAAAAATAAGCACCCTTTTCCCTCTTCAGGCACAGTATGGGCAGCAATCTTTTGGAATCCTTTGGGCCTCAAACACTCCCTGAAATAGGTACTTGTGCTCACTAGGAGTCAGGGCACTTCTTCCTCTTTAGCCACCTAACTATTTGGTCCTATTTTCAAAGGGAAACATGTCTGCTCAGAGTCCCTGAAAAATCCATCCTGTTGATTTCTGTTGTTTGCAGTCGGTAGGAATGTTGTCAGACTAAAAATACCAGAAATTTACCGCTCCCTTTCAAATCAGCCAAGCTTTTGCCAGCCTCCAAGCCTTAAGAGTGCTTTTTATCTGAATACGTCAGGCTGGTGATACTACGTGGGAATCTTTCACTT